ACCACGTATGCCACTATTTACTGAAACTTAGCCACAACGCGCAGCTCAGGGATAAGTGCTTAAAATTGAAGGAACAATATAGCTGTCTAGAGTGTCGACAGAATTATTATCACTTCAGGTTTGCCAACCATGGAACGCACTTCCAGACTCAGTTGTATCCTCTCCTACCTTGCACGTTTTCAAAAAAAAACGATTAGATATTGCTCTTAGCCCTCAGCGTTTTGTTACCAGAACTCTTCTATTTTGGATTACGCCAAGCATGCTTTTCCACAGGATTTATGTATCAAATGGACCTAAGTGATTGAGCATATTTTACTTTGCTCACTCTTTACATCGACGATCACTGCACCTCAGTGTCTTTCTGAAAGTTTACGCTCGATAATATTTTTTAATTTTACACTGATGTCAATTATCAAAGTATTCATCTTGGAAGATCTTCGGTAGATGACCCAGATATATTTTGATTTGACTTTGATTTCATCGTATTCACCCCAACCATCCTACGGGATGTGTTAAGCACCTGCTTTTATCCCATGATAAATCATGGTTTTTTGTTCATTGCTACCTGCAGTGCTCTTGGGAGAATGCTTTCCAGTCCAGGAGGGTTGTGCAACGAGGATAGCGGCTTTTTCAGTACCTCTACTGCAATACGTGTGACATCGATTAAAACTGACGGTTGGGTGATAGAAACTGAGATAGCGTTGTAGGCTTGTGCCCCCTGGAAACTAACTTAGTCTTATGCGTGTAAAGACTTTGCTGTCTCTCTCGTTGCGTGTGTATATCCACCAACCGTAGTGAATGATGGGATTCCACGTTGTAGTCTACGAAGTCCATTGACGTGTATATAAAGAAGTTTGTGTTCGCACAGTATTCTTCCAACTGCTCCTGCTGGTGTGATATCTTATCCTCATAAACCAACTGCACAGAGTACCTGCGTTGGGCTACGTACGTTGCCAAATTTCTGAGTTGGGATTGTTTTTGTAGACGCGCCTGGGCCTACCGTCTTGCGATCATTGTGGTACTATTGATGCAATGTAACTCATAATGGCACTTCTTGGGAGTTGAATACCGTAAATACGGTATGATGGATCACCTACCCATTCAGCCGCTGCGGTTCTGCACCAATTGTCCTCCGAATGTCGTTTAATGGTCGCGTCAATACGCTGTAAGACATCGGATGTCAGATTTATTCTCTTTTTTCCTTCACATTCGCGCTGCTTATTGGCACCTTCTCACCTACAGGCATTGAAGATGTTTCTTGTTGTACTCTCGTTGACTTTGGTGAATTCAGAAGCTTCATGAGTATTTTTGCCATCGGCGAATACATGCTTAGTAAGGGTTCTCTTCTGCGTCAATAACGTTCGGTTGCACTTTCGCTGCCCTGGAGATGGGCTATCCCGTCGTTAGTTACACCTTTCGGCTTGTCCATATAACAGTAGGCTAATAAAGCTGGGCGAAATTTGATGGAGTCATAACAACGTACTCTGTTCTCATAGTCGTGCATGTGCACAAGTTCACACATATACACACAAAATATAACTGCTGCTCTTCTATCTGCCTGGCGGTCACTTCGATATTGCGCCCCTCGTTATTACGTAGTTTCTACTCTTCACCTTCCCACGGCACATTTAGCCCACACTCACTCGGATGACACCAATTCGTTTTATTCTTTGAGTCATCTTGAACGAGGTTAGTTTCTGGGAATCCCTGTTTCAGCATCAGTTTTTACAACTTTCTTGTTCCAACTTACGTTTAAAAACATATCGCATTTGGATTAGTTAACCAGCTGTGTTACTGTGTTCGATCGAGCAATCTCGGAACCTTCCGATAAAACCGGATTCGCTCATGAGCGACATGTACCAAAACAGCTGCGGTATATTTGGCTATATATAATTTTCTCAGCATTCGGATTCGGCCTCGAGCACATCCAGCTTGTTCTCCAATTTCGACGGAAGCTGCCATCACCAATCAAACAGGTGACCAATCTGTTCTAATATTCGTGCGCGCACGCTCGTAAACGACCAACGCCTGCAGTCAATGTTGACCCCAACAGTTACAGTGACACTCACAGGCAGTTTGGTTCGTAGTACGTCGAAGTTAATTTGCAAAACGTCCACTTTAATGCGAAATTTAATGTATGTCAGTGGTACCGTGTTGTATCACGGATAAAAGACAATGCTTAACAAGTCCCGTAGAATGGAAGTTGTTGAGAATATAAATTTGCATGGTAAATTGAACAGTGTCTCGGTGGACTCAACATATTTTTCGCATACAGACATGCGTAGATGAGCTGAGATTTTCGCGTAACTACATTATAAATCCACTAGTTGGGATTCTGGAAACATAACGTTTAGTTGCATTTTGTGGCATCCCGGCTAAGATAACTTATAAGGTTAATTGCGCTTGTAACAATGCTTCTTCAAGTGCTTCTTTAAATTTGCTACATTTGGAGCAACAATAACATAATTTCGGGAGCGCTTCGCAGTTGTCTCACTCAGAGTGAGAAGAAATTTCTACGCCATTCCAGCCGCCTGTGCCGTATTGTCCGTTTCAAATAATTAGCTATTAGGCTGGTGTAACGTTTCCGTTCCAGCAGCGGGCTGTAAATGTGGGTTAGGCTCTTCAGTATCTAGCAAAGTACTATGAGATCCCCCCGCAAGCGCCGATATCAACTGCCGTACATTCCTAGGGACTTCACTTTACACTGATAGGGCAGATGGAAAAAGCCCTTCTTGAGTATCCTCTGTTGCGGTGTCTTGAGTGCAGCGAAATCCTGTTTCTGCAACGGTTGCCACTCTTGGGTGGCGTATTTCATGTGCGGTCGCACATGGGTGTTAAAAGTTTTTAGAAGATTGTGTGGACAAACCGACCAAAAGCTCTGCGAAGAACGCCAAGCTGTTAGTAAACGGTTCTCGTCGCCTTCTCTGCTTGTTTCGGGTACCCCAGATCGTTCAGCTTCAGTATCCAAAGTCAGGCTCTTTAGAGAGGTTCTGCAAAGTATAGTCTCTAAGCTTGTAAACGCAAACTGGCTGATGACGCAAGTGGATTCCTTTGCATCTAGCTATGTTGCACTGGGGTAGATTGCTCGTTGAACACCCTCAAATGCAACCAGGTCATGTATGAGGAAATCGCGATGTTTCTTGCTATCAATGGCTTGTCCCGTCTTAACCTCATCGAAGACAAGCAAGAAATTGGAGTAGATAACTCCTACCAAGTCACTGGTAACACAAAGAATAAGAGTGACACCAGAACCAAAACCTGTGGTACACTGCATTTCACCTCAATCTGATTAAAGAGTGTTCCACTAACTCCTACTTGAAGCTTCCGTTGGCAAGTTGACAAAGAACATGACCTCTGATCCCATGTCCATGTCTTCTGTGAAGTAGGAAGCGGTAATTCAGGCGGTCAAAAGATTTGTAGAACTGCATACAGATGACGTCAACTCCAGCCCCACTATGGGCCACTTCTAGTAAATTCCTAGTGCCATCAGCAGGGTGCTGGTGCAATACCGGTGTTGACAGAAGCTATGCTGCCCCTGAGCCAAGATACTGCATTTGTCTAGGTAGTCTGCTGGGTCCTCAACGACGGCCAACTCCATCACATTCCGGAGCAGAGGGACGAGAGCAACTGGGCGATAGTGTACAGGATCTGAATCACTACCATCTTTAGAAATTGGGGTAGTAATACCATGCTTCCACATAGTGGGGACTTGTTGTTTATCGAAGCATCTTTGGAAGAACTGTGACGAAGACGCGGTTAGCTTAGTAGCTGCAGCCTTCAGTACTTCCGGATGAATGTTGTCGGGTCCCAGAGAGATGTGATCACGCAAAGAGACCAACGTCTATAGCACAGTTCCTGGGTTGAAAATTACATGTGCAAATCATGGAGTGGATAAAATAGATGACGGTATGTGACAGAGACAGGCTGTGGTTTGGAAATCGGGGTGTGTTGTAGCCACAGAGCATTAGTTGCTTCGTCTGCACTCTGTACCTACCTGTCTGTTGTGAAAGTGGGAATGCCATGCATTACTGTATGAAGACTGCTGACATGTCTTTACAGTAGTTTGTGTGTCAGCAACATTGTGGCTAGACACTATTGAAAAGTTACCTAATCTCCATAAACAAGTTTGGTACAATAGTTGCTGTACGTCAGGAAGTTGCCCCAGGTCTCTGAGTCTACGTTAGCCCTTAAGCATGCCAAGTTGCATCCCTTATTACTATATATTTGGGTTCTGCTTCTCAGAATTGACGGCACTTTTGAGGAAGGAAGTGGCTGGGTTTCCGAAGCTCTGTTGATCATGCCGCTAATATTTTCAACGAACACTGGGCAAGTGAACTCAAGAGGTTGTTGTCCTCTAAGTCACGATGAATTCATTCAGAACCTGACTGCGTTTAACTGTATGAGTTAATTCTGTTTAGCTGGATACACTGCATAGCAAACATAATTAAATGCTATGATTAGATTGTTGCCGTGAACAAGTAAACTCCCTGTCAATATCCCGTCGATCTTGAGCTCTTCATTTTGTGAGCACAAAGTCCAGCACAGACTATTCTCTTGGAATCCTTTGGGCAAGGTGACAATTACATAAGTGTATATATGGTTAACGGTATCCCGTTTCGGATTTGCCTGTCACTGTGGCCAGCCACAGGACGCCTGCGCCTACAGAGGGACCATGGATGGCTTGCGCTGCACCACGCACAGCTCCAACCACACATCCCATATCCAGTGTAAACCCGAAGGAATAACACCGGGGGGCATGTGGATGGGAGCCACGTTTTATCAACGGAGCCGGCACACACTCCTTCACAGGCAAACACAAGCACGCTGTATTTGGGGAATCAAGCTCACACAAGGCGGTGGCTGGACCGTAGTCCGCTCCACACTGAGTGCATGAAGCCGCTCTTTGATCCTAGCACTGCCACAAGGACCGTGCACCCCGTCCCCTCCAGCAACGACCAACTGTCTCCTGGAGCCAGTATGAAGGATGTAGTGGGTAATAGACAGGTAGGCACCTTGTCAACATGCACATCAAGCGCAGCCAAACCGGGGATATCAAACAAAAGCCAATCACTTGAGAGAGAGATTCAGAGAAAATAACTCGATTAATGCATAAGGAAACGGTGACATAGACCTTAAGTTAATGAGCATTTGAAATAAGTTGTTTACAATCGAATCCTAGATAAGTTCACGAGGTCAGAAAGCATACTTTACGGAAATGCCACGAACACAAAAATGTTATGCAAATCGAATACAATTGGCTTAGGCGAGGTGTGCAAGTTAATGGAATAGAGTACATGCAGACATTTATAAGAGAAAGAAAAGCATTAAGGCAAAATTGAAAACCCACCACCTGAAATAAATAGATTTAGCATGCATGCACGCGGTTGTTAAATCGCTTGCAGCGTTCCTACAAACGCTGCGCCGGTTCTGCAGGAACCGTCGTCGCTTCTGTAATGGACCCGAGTAGCCTCGCTCATGGGTCACTAAGCCTGCCTGACTAAGGCACTTGAGACAGCGTGTTCTACAGCATCATGCGCTTGATGTCGATGGAGAACAATTCATCGGTGCTTGCCGCTTCTTCTCTGCATGCATGAAGGCTTTCTCCTGCACCTCGGCAACTGCCTTCGTGATCAGATCGCGCCATACACGCCGATCAACCGCCTTCGATTCCCATGATCAGCAATCAAGATTAGAACGTGTGAGGCTCACTTTGATCATGTCCTGGTAACGTAACTTCGGTTTCCCGCGTGCCGCTTTCCAGTACTTAGTTGACCATATAATAGCTGCTTCCGTATCCGCGTCGAATCCATACGGCTCACATGACCGAGCCATCTCATATGTCTCAGCAAAAGAATGAAGTCCACTGCATACATCCCACTTCGGCGCAACACTTCCGTGTCTGCAACTCCGTCGCCCCAGCCGATGCGCAGAATCCGTCGCAAACACTGCTGATGGAACCGCTCGACATATCGCACATCCAGACGGTACATCATCCACGTTTCACTGCCGTATAGAAGAACGGACAGTACCATGGATTTGTACACCATCGGCTTCGTGCCAATGCTAAGCTGATGGTTGTTCCACACTCGGTACTCAAGCTTCCCGAATGTCGCCGCTGCCGTCGACACGCGAATACGCAGCTCACTGTGCAGCTGCTGATTACTCGACATCACACTCACAAGGTAGCAAAAGCAGGAGGTGGTTTCTAATATTTCAGCACCAATGCTGATTCGCGGCAATATTGAAGATTGCACCTCCGGTGAAGGCTGAAAGAAACAGACAGTTTTCCTTGTGTTGATGGTGAGCCCGAATTTGGCCGCTGTCGAAGCCAGAGCACTAGTCATGTGCTGCAACTCATCTGCGCTGTGTGCAAACAACGCACAGTCGTCAGTAAACAGCAACATCCGGATAGTTGTCTCACAGACTAGAGTTCTCGCACCGAAACGACGGATGTTCAGCAACCCACCATCAATACGGTGCTCCACACGAACACAGTAAGCACAAGCCGCATCAAAAGCACAAGACAACGTTGCATGAAAATAGATATTAAACAGGGCAGAAGCTAAGACACAGCCTTGCTTCACACCAGAGACAACTACAAAGTCATCCGAGGTCTCTCCACTCAGCTGCACCCTCGCTCGCATACCACTGTGCAGACATTCAATTAAACTTACAAACTTACGCGGGCAACCAAACTTACCCAACACCAACCACGATGCCTCGCGGTTCACGGTATCAAATGCCTTGGTGAAATCAACAAAAAGCGAATACAATTGCTGGTGTCGTTCTCTGCGCTTCTCTTGCAACTGACGAGCCGCAAACACCATATTTATAGTGCTGCGACCCGAACGGAATCCACACTGCTCTTCCGCCACGTTAGGTTCCACAACCTGACTGACGAGGAGGTTGAGCAGGATTCGGGCAATCATCTTACCCACACAACTCAGCAAGTTGATGCCACGATAATCCGTGCGACATTGCTTGCTACCTTTGCCCTTGTACAGTGGTAGCACAAGGGCATCCTTCAGCTCAGGAGGCACCTCCTCCTCAATCCACACGCGTTACACCAAGTGGTGCAGCGCAGTCAGCAACGTGGGTCCGCCGTGTTTCCATGCTTCAGGCGGGGTCCCGTCGGCCCCAGCACAGTTGCCGTTTCGCAGCTGAGCAAGTGCTCTCTGCATCTCATCCAGTGTCGGCGTGTCCGTCAGATTCGTCTTCACATCGTGCTGCTTCAGGCCGTTCAGTGTAGGCCAGTCGATCTCTGAACGGTTGTTCAAGAGACAGTCGAAGCGTTTTCGCCAGATCTGCATTATGTCTGCAGTCTGTGCGCAGGTAGCTCTGAACTACCGTCGATCAGCGTTCTCAGCGGCTCCAATCTCGGTCCATACACCGCCTTCAAGGAGTCAAAGAATTCCTTGTGTTGACGGCGTTCGGCATAGCATTCCATCTGCTTCGCCTTCACCGTCCACCACGCATTTTTAATAAGACGGAGCTCTCGGGTCAGTCGCCGTCGAAGTTTGCGAAACTGACTCTTCTTCCCCAAGTCACTGGGGTCTGCGACATGTGCAGCAAATGCTGCATTCTTCTCCGACACCAATGCGCCAATCGTCACATTGATGTCATCAAACCAATCAGGTCGCTTACCGTTTGCGCGCCCGATGGTCTCCTCGGCAGCAGCTGTCACCTGGTCGCCAATGTGGTGCCACAGGTCGCCCACTGTGGGTATGCACTCCACATCAAACAGGCGTGCAGCCATCGCCTTCTCCAGCTCAGTACGTTTCGCCACAGTACCGAGGGAGAGAATGTTAAATTTACGCCGATTCACGGCGGAGTGCAATACATCGATTTACGAAAATATATGTACAGTTTGGTCCGAACCAATTTGTGATCAGTGCCACACTCAGCTCCACGCAGTACACGTGTCATGCGCACTTCACGCATATCACGCTGACGTACGATGACATAGTCGAGCAGGTGAGCGTGACCACTCCGTGGGTGCGTCCAGGTTGCTATATCACTCGCACTCAGTACAAACCGATTGTTTGTTATCGTCAGGCCGTGAGTGGCACACAGTGAGAGCAGCCTGTCACCGTTCGCATTCGCTGCGCCAATGCCATGCGAACCGATAATATCTGTCCACGCTGATGCATCACGCCCAACGCGCGCGTTGAAATCACCCAGCAGAAATAGTCGGTCGCTCCTCGGCACAGACCGTATCACGGAGGATAGCTCAGTGTAGAACTGATCACGCGTGTCATCAGGATAACACATGGTCGGACTATACGTGTTATAAAAGTGGCAAACTTACCTCTTCCGAATCGTAGGCGAACAGTCATCAGCCGCGCGCTGATGCCCGTTGGTTCACCCACCAGCTGGCCATGGAGGCGATCGGATATTACAAATCCGACCCCATGTTCACGTGGTGCTGAGACGGCGTTGCCCACCCAGTAGAATGTGTAGCCAGCACCTGCTTCATGCAACTTACCTTGCTCAGCGAGTCGAGTTTCACTGGGCGTCGCAATGTCGATATGGTAGCACGCCAGCTCCATCGCGACCAGTGCAGTGCGTCGCTCCGGGCGCTTGCTGGAGTTCCGGTCCAGTAGTGTGCGCAGGTTCCAGCACCCGATGCTGAGTACTTTGCGCGCAGGCACACGATTGCATTGGTGGGCAATCGCACGCGAGGTGGTCGTTGTGCTTCGGAGGTTTGTTTAAGGGACTCCACCCGGAGCCTTTGGCTCAATAGCCTGACCCACAAGGCAGTGGGGAGCAGATCCAGCTCGGAAATGTGATTGCAGAGACAGATTTGGAGCTGCTTGACGGCCATCACACGCAACCTTTGAGGTTCTAAAACGTTTTCTATATGTTTTGCGACCGTAGTAGGATACGCACCTGCGACCCCGGCCAGACGCAAGTGGGTTTTGGCGGGTTTGCACTAATTTGACCAGGGGCTGCCTAGCTTGCGGCGGGCAGTAGCAAACCATTGAACACCCGGTGGTGTCCTCCCACCGTCAGAGACAATGCGTGGTGCTCGTGCTCTACGCCAATCGAGCTGTGAGCTTATAACCCGTAGACGTGTTGTCTTCCATGGCTAGGTTTTACGGGAAGAGGGCCATCGTCCACTTCCTAACCTCCGGAGAGGATGGACTAGGATACTGCCAGGGCGCCCACACCTGACAGGAGAACGACTCGAGTCCTCAGCCAAAGCCTTCGATTAAATAAACACCCGAAAGGCAGCGGGTCTAGCACATGGTCAGTTCACTGACTCATGCGGATTGGTGTTCTGGATCTTAGCAAGGAGAAGGGCGAAGCCCAAATACCACCAAGCGGTCGCCTCGGGTAGGCGCCCAGGACATGAGCAGATGGCACAACAGTAGCAGCAGTGGGTAGACAATCTGTCAGGATCTAGCTACCATCAGCCTCAGCGCACCATATATATATATATATATATATATATATATATATATATATATATATATATATATATATATATATGTAACTCCGCTCTAAACTGTTCACTGTACATTGTAACTACCCGTGATAACGATTTGATCATACCTAGGGTGTGTTCTCTTGTTTAAAGCGAGTATCAGATTGGAATACATTACCGGAGTGAATGTTGGTGAGCTGTAAAATAGCTACGAGACATTCGTCGTTGCGCCTTAGTTGCAGACGCTGACGTCGGCTTCCGGATCTTAAACTAGTGCACATTGCGGGTCACTGCGGTAGTACAGAAAGAACCCAACTACCTTTCTGGGAACGACCTTCCAGGTATGAAATTCCTGCAATGGAGACCTGAGCAGTAGCAACTTCTTGGTACAATCAGATTTTAGTAATTGAACTTAGGTCCCAAGCATTCGCGACTTGGCTTACCCAAATTCGGTAAGCTTACAGTGGTGTGCTTGGGTTTTGTTGTAGTGCATGAAAACACTGTGCTGGAGATTGTGCGTTGCATACGTAAAAATTTCACCGAACAGTAAGTGGGCGGCGACTAATCACTTTTTCGA